TATAGTAGCTGCCTCTGAAATATGGTTTCTGGTTGAGTCAAGTTGGATGTGTTACGACACTCAGCTTGAAAGATTTGGCCTGTTCTAAACATTGTTTTGCCTTTTCTTCTGATTTAATGATAAATGATTATATCCAGTAAAGGACAAGCCTAATGCTTAATATTAAAGGAAGCGTTGGAAGGAGATGTATTACTTAAAACTTGCAAGTTTGGTAAATTAATCTGTGCCGAAATCCGAGAGGCTTATCTGAGACAAATTAATTATGAACATGGCATGATTGCAAATATTCATTCATATTTTGATTGTTTTGTCTCTAACCTGGTTCTAAGGTGAAATATGCCAATCTTTGTCTTCCCTACAAGAGACAAACAAGGTGTTATCATCTCCCTTCCTTCGTATTTACCCACCAACCACAGCTACTGGTAACTTCACAACAGCAAACCACACTCAAATGATAACAAAATAGACTTTAAAAGGTCTAGGAAGGAAGAATCCATAAGTCCTCAAAATTCAAATATTTGGCCATATTGTTGCCATGAGTGCATGTATATTGTTTGGTACAACTCTACAATTCTTGTTATAGTTATCATGAAGAAAAAACCTCTCCCAAAATGCAGTTTTATCAGGGAAAATGTTAAAAACTATAAACAGCGTAATTTTTTTCCCAAATAAAAATATCTCCCTTTCTAGACATTAGAGGATTCTTTTCCATTTTTTTCTGAAAATTCATCCAATGAAAGCATTGATGTCAAATTATCAAATTCCAAACATTTTATTTTGCTTGTCCGCCTCATAAAGAAACACAAATGAGACTAACTGAGTTATCCTATGGTAAATTGTCCTCAGGCTTTCCTTGGTTCCTTTATGGAAATCCCCAGACTCATACCATACGGAGCCACAGAGTCACTATTGAGGTTCCCAGATCTTCCTATTCTCCCTGCTCTTCCATCCTTGATAACGGCTGTCCTCTGACGCTGCCGACACAATCCAACCTAAGCATTATTTTATTTTAATCTTGTATATTTCAGTCCAATCAAATATACTCCAAACAGAGATGTGTATTATGCCAAATTTCTTATCCAACTTTTCAAACTACTAGAAAAAGAAGCAAAACGAACTTTGAGAGAGAGAGGAGTTATATACTGACATCTTTTATATATATATAATTTTTAAACTGTGGTCACCATGTTGTACATCACATCTTCAGGACTTATTTATCTTAAAACTGGAAGTTTGTACCTTCTGACCACCTCTCATTTCAGCCCCCAACTCCATTTCTTGCCTCTGGCAAATACCAATATGTTCTGTGTATTTATGAGTTTGTTTCTTTTATTTTTAGATGTCATATGCAAGCAAGATCATGCAATACTTGTCTTTTTCTGTCTGACTTATTTCACTTATGATAACACTCTCAAGGTCCATCCATGTCATCGAAAATGGCAGGCATTCCTTCTTCCTTATGACTGAATAATATTCCATTGTGTATATGTACCTCATTTTCTCTATCCATTCATCTGTAGATGGACACTTAAGTTGTTTCCACATCTTGGTTATTGTAAATAATGCTGTAACATACACAAAATTGCAGATATTGTTTCAAAATATCTTTTTATTTACCTATTGCCCATTTGTAAGTCTTTGGAAAAATGTGTATTCAGATCCCCCATTTTTTAACTGGATTTTGTTCTATTTAGTTCTTTATGTATTTTAGTTATTAATTTCTTATCAGATATGTGATTTGCAAATATTTTATCCCATTCCGTAGGTTGTCTTTTCATTTTGTTGATGGTTTGCTTTTTGCTACAGAAGCTTTTTAGTTTGATGTGTTTTTTTTTTTGCTTCTATTGCCTTCACTTTTGGTGTCAAATCCAAAAAATCATTGCCAAGACTAATCTCAAGGAGCTTATTCTCTATGTTTTCTTCTTGAAGTTTTATGGTTTCAGGTCTTGCATTCAAGTCTTTAATGCATTTTGAGTAAACGTGTGTATAATGTAAGATGAGGTCCAGTTTCATTCTTTTGCATGTGGCTGTCAGTTTTCCCAATAAAATTTATTGATGTGACTGTCCTTCCCTGTTGTATATACTTGGCTCCTTTGTGATAAATTAACTGATCATATATGTGCAGATTTACCTCTCGCCTCTCTATTCTGTTCCATCGGTCTATGCATTTGTTTTATGCCAATATCGTACTGTTTTTGATTAGTACAGCTTTGCAACATAGGTGGAAATCAGGATGTGTCATGCCTCCAGCTTTGTTCTTCTTTCTGAAGAGTTCTTTGGGTATTCAGGGTCTTCTGTAGTCTATACAAATGTTAAGAGTGTTTTTTCTATTTCTGTGAAGAAAGTCATTGGAATTTTGAGGGGGATTGCATTGAATCTGTAGATTGCTTTGGTTAGTGTGCACATTTAACAGTATCAATTCTTCCAATCCATGAGCACAGAAAGTCTTTCCATTTGTTTGTGTCTTCTTCCATTTCTTTCCTTAAGTTTTGTAGTTTTCAGTGTACAAGTCTTTCACTTCCTTGTTCAAATTTATTCTTAGGTATTCTATTCTTTTTGATGCAATTGTAAATGGGACTGTTTTCTCAATTTTTCTTTTTGATAGTTTGTTGTTAGTATATACAAACACAACCGATTTTTGTATATAGATTTTGTATCCTGTAACTTTACTGAATTCATTTATTGGTTCTAACATATACTGATATCCTGTGGGCATGTCTGTCATTGCTAACTCAATTGATATGATTTTTTTCCATGTTCTCTTTTTGTGTGTTGGAGACGTGTACATTGTGGACTTGGGGAGGAAGTTTCTGGCTTGTTTATTTCTGGTTGAACACCCTTTAATTCACAAGCAAATTTTAAGATTTTTCTGGTGAAATTTTTATTGGCATTTAAGTTACCTATTGGGAATACACCTGGCAAAATTGTAGGTAATAAGTGTTTCATTTTCCATTCTATGAACTGATTGAGCTAGTAAAAACTATGGTTTGTACTATACATTTAAAAATTTATTTATGTTTGTAATTTATTAAATAATTCTCACATGGAAAAGTGCAGAAAATTATCTATCAGACACCTTTGCACCCAGGCAATTAGAAGTTAATTTTGCTCTGCTTTCTACAGACCCTTTCTCTCTCTCTCACTCTAACATTACAGACAGAACTAAAAGAGTAAACCCTGTTCCTTCTTCTGTTCCTAAAGTAGTAGCCACTATAAGTTTTTTTTTTTTTAAAGATTTTATTTGTTCCTTTTTCTCCCCAAAGCCCCCCGGTACAAGTGTATTCTTCGTTGTGGGTCCTTCTAGTTGTGGCATGTGGGACGCCGCGTCAGCGTGGTCCGATGAGCAGTGCCATGTCCGCGCCCAGGATTCGAACTGACGAAACACTGGGCCGCCTGCAGCGGAGCGCGCGAACTTAACCACTCGGCCACGGAGCCAGCCCCCGCCACTATAAGTTTTATGTAAGTTCAAGGTAAGTGGACATTAGTTTACATTTCTCTAGGATAAGTACACAGGAATGTGACTGCTGGGTTGTAAAGTAAGTGAATGTTTAACTTCCTGTGAAACTGCTGAACTGTTTTCCAGAGTGACTGCACCACTTACCCACCAGCAGTGTATGAATGATCCAGTTTCTCGCATCTTTGCCAGAACTTGGTGTTGTCAGGATTTTTTATTTTAACTACTCTGATAGATGTGGAGTGGTACCTCATTGTTGCTTTAATTTGCATTTCCCTAATGACTAATGATATTGAATATCTGTTCATATGCTTGTTTCTATGCTTATTTCACTAGCACATACCCTCTTTGGTGAAGTGTCTGAGTCTTTTGTCCATTTTTTAATTCGATTGTTTTCTTCTTGTTTAGTTAAAAGAGTTCTTTATATTCCAAATACCAGTCCTTTCATGGAAATGTATCTCGAAAATATTTCCTGCCAATCTGTGGTTTGTCTTTTTAATTCTCTTAACAGTGTCTTTCACAGAGAAAATGTTTTTAATTTTGATGAAATCTAAGTTATTTTTTTTTTGTGGGTTGTACTTTTGGTGTCATGTCAAAAATCTCTTTGCCTAACCCTAGGTCATGAACATTTTCTCTTATATTTTCTTCTAAAAGATTTATAGTTTTACATTTTACACTTGGATGTATGATCCATTTTGAGACTGTCCTCAAATTTTTGTAAAAGTTGCGAAATTTAGTTCAAGGTTCAATTATTCGCCTGTGAATATCCAATTGTCCCAACACATTTGTTGCTAAGACTATCTTTCTTTCATTGCATCGCCTTTGCATCCTTGCCAAAAAATCAGTTGTCCCTACTTGTGTGGGTCTGGTCTATACTATTACTCAGTGGCATAAAATTGTTAATGATATTCTTTTATTATCCTTTTAATGTTGTGGAATAATGTAGTGTTGTTTCCTTTTTTATTGCTGATATTTATGATTTATGCTTTCTTTCTTTTTTCCCTTGATAATTCTAGTTAGAATTATATCAATTTATTAATTGTATTAAGAAAATTAACTTTTCAATTTGTTGATTAATTCTATTGTTTGTTTTCTATTTCACCAATTTTACTTTTTTTATTATTGCCATCTTTTAGTTTGTGTTGAGTTTACTTTGTTCTTTTCCTATTTTCTTGTGTTGAAAGCCTACACCATTGTTGTTCAACCTTTCTTCTTTAGTAATATAGGTATTTAAAATGATAAATTTCCTTCTATCTACTTTTTCAGCTGCATCACATACATACCTATATGTATGTGTTTTTGTTATATTTTCTTTAAAAATACTTTGTAATAGCCATTTTAATTGCTTCTTTGACCTATGGTATATTTTAAAGTTTAGTGCTTAAATTCCAAATATTTGGGAGTTTTTATAGACATCTTTTTGCAATTGATTTTCTAAATCAATTCCATTTTGAATAGAGAATAAATTCTGTATAATTTCAGTTCTTTTAAGTGTAAGACCTTTTTGGCCAAACAGATTATGCATGTGTGAGTGTGAATATTGCATCTACATGGCAGGGTTTGGCTGGAGCCTCAGCTGCAGGTTTGGGTACGGGCTGCAGGTGCCTGCAGAGCACTGTGCCCTTGCTGCACAGAAGTAGGTGGCGGAGTCTCCAGGCTGGGAAGCCGTGATGGTCAATGAGAACTGTTTGGCACTTTTATTGAAGGAAACTGTGAATCTTCCTTCCTCTGTACTCACAACTGAACGTATGGCTATCAGGAACACAGGCCCTTCACCGGGGTATTGCCGGTACCATGGGAAGTAATCCAATGTACTGTCCACATAAGTACAGTTCAGAACTGAGATCTCTCCTTCCTGGATGATCAAAGATTGAGGGCTCTGTTTCACCTGCTGCTGGTCACCTTTTTCCTTCTGTTGGCCACTCACCCCTGCTTAAAAAGATAACAAAAAGTCATTAGGCCCCCAAATTTATTGTTTCTTCTTAAAGGTTCTACCTGCATGAGTTTGTCCATACACCAATTTTCTCATTCCCTCAAATTAACAACATATCCTGGGGTTTCTCCTCCACAACTCACAGCCTAGTAGAAGCCACAGAATTAAACTTGATGCTCTCAGGATCTTGTCCATTCCTCCTGGCACCAAAGCTCAGTGACAACTCAGGTGTCTTTTGGTCCTCTCAGCACCTGGAACTCTGACTTTAAGTTTATATCTGCTTTAATTCTTTCCACAGGCCCCACCCTTTCACAAATCCTTTCACTTAAGGCTATTTCTGTCAAAGGAAGCACTTCCTCATTTTGCCCTGACTTAGAATTGCTGAAAATACTTTCATCGAGAATCAGAAATCCCCTCCTTACACATGGATAAGAAGCAGTTTAGAATTTCTCTTCCCCAATCCCCCTCTTCCTTTCCCTCATTCCTTGTAGAATGTTAAAAGTTATAGAGTAGTACAGATTCATATGTCAATAGAGATTGCATTATTTTATGATGGAGAAGACAGAGACTCCCATGAAGTGAGAAGATTAGCATGTATGGGACATTTATTTTTTATTACAAAAACTAATTAAAGTCTATTGAGGGCACACAAAAGGCAGAATATCAATGAGGATATATAAAACTTGAACAACACTACAAACCAGGTAGACCTAACAGACATCCACCCAACAGCAGAATACACATTTTTCTCAAGCGTATAGGGAACATTCTCCAGAATAGATCATATCCTAGAACATAAAATAAGCCTCAAGAACATGAATGGGACTTAGTTGAATGGAATTTACATTTTAAGGTTTTTTTTGGAGTATATGAACATTGATCGAAATGTTTCTGTTTGCTTTGCTGCACTAGTAGGATGGGATGCAAGTGTTTATTGACAATTGCTTTGGGACACATTGTGGTGAGGCAGACTTGAGCATTCTTGAGAGACCCAACTAAGCTGGATCTTTACGTAATAACATCTTTACCGGAGTAATTTTTCTTTTCTTTTTATTCCTTTCACTTTTTACCCTTTTGGAGTCCAGCATACTGTGGCTTAAATGTTTATTTTAGTTCAGTCCTCTAATCAGCTACTCTGCTAGTTCCAAGTCAGAGGTTTAAAGTACAGAAAAAGGTGTAGGTTGAGAAGGGGAGATAACGACCAAATTCCAAAACCTGAAAGGCCAAAAAGTATCTGTGGTTAAAACCCTAGCAATGTGGGTTAAAATCTTAGGCAATAAAAATGCAAAAAATCAGAAAAATTTGATTTCTATACTTCAGAATTCTCCATTTTCCCTTTTGCTTTATATGACTCTGATCCAGGAGTCTTTTCTGCTAAATAAAGATAAAGATAATGATCTAGATAAAGATAATGATAATGATGACAGTGTAACATAGATGTATGCATTACAGCCATAAGCCTCTAGTACTTGATCAGGGAATAAAGCAGAGGTGATAATTGAAAGGAATATTCAGCAAGAAACATGTTTCTTATGGGCTGACAATGGTTAGTTTGTCCTCACACACAGTTATTCTCCCCTCTTTCTATTACCAGCACCTATTTGTGCACTTAACGAACTTCTCAAATCTTTCAACAGCTATTCACCACTAAGTCCCTCAGGGTCATCTGTAGGTTTAAGAAAGCCTGTAGTACCTCCTAAGGGGCTAAACCTTAAAAAAGGAACACGTCTCACTCAGCAGGTACACATAGCTCAGCCCAGCTGGCTTCTCTAGGGCTGTACCTGTGGACTGACTTGAAGACACAGAGGTGTCCACAAGGATGGAGAGTACCATGAAGAGGACCGAGAGTCCCCTCAGTGCTTTCTTAAGAAAATAAATTCTTTCGTATAATGTAAGTTTATGTAATTATATGAAAACAATCCATTTAATTCATACTTAGGAACTTATAAAAATTGACCTCTTGAATGTGATCCAGTTTAGCCAATATATTTAAGAGTATTCTAGACCTGAGACAATTCAAAGCTGAATTAGACACTGTATCCTCCTTCAGAGAGTTTGTGATATAATGGGGGAGACAAACATCTCTGTCAATGTAATAGAGGCTTAAAGGACATCGTAATAGCAGCATGCCATAAATACTACATGAACACCAAGACAGGAACAAGTACTTCAAGCCTGTATAACAGGAGACAACTCAAGGAAAGGTGATACTGTATGCCTTCTACAGAGGTGACAAGGGAAGATAGTAATGAAAGCAAAGATGAGTGATCTTTGAAAGGTGACCCTTTATTTTAAATACAAAGAACAGAGAAGATGAGCAAGTATGTGGACGGGGACACAGACCACAAACAGACACACACAAACACATGTATTAAAGAACACTTGGTGTGTATGTCACAGAGTATGAAACTTCTACATCATATTGATCTCTTACCTGTATTTACTAATTGTGTAAAAAAAGATTTATTTGAATGAGATATACACTGTAGCAGAACAGAATATTTTGCGGTCTCTAGTCTCAATGAGCAGACCCATTTGTTACATCAAATATTTTTGTTTGTATTTGCAAACTATGGCCCCCGTTTCCATGACAAATACCTGTATGTCTTCTGATAGCAGCCACTGAGGCTCAGCTATAGCTCCTAGAAAAGACAGGCTAAACCATCAGAGACCATCTTAGCGACTTTATGTTTTAAGACCACAGAAGATTGTGAGTGAGTTTTTTGGCTCCAACATGCGTGTATATGTAGACTCCTGTGATTGCAACTGAATAAACCACAGCTGCTAATATCGCAGTAGATTCTCCTTCACCAAATGGAAACATCAACAATTATGAAGTCTAAGAATACAGTTGTATTCTGGATAAAAAGAAGACAGACTTCTAGATGGTTCTATTAACTAGTTGTTAAGAATATTGGTTGTGCATAAGACAGATTTAGGTCTTAGCCCAAGTGTTACTCCTAACTGGTTATATAACTTTTATCAAGTTACATAAGATCTCTAAACCTTAATTTTGTCATCTGTAAACTGAGAATTTGGTAGTATCTACCTAAAGAGGTGGGGAGAAATTTAAAGCACTTAGCCCAGTGCCCATAAAACTGTAAGTGCAACAAATATTTTGGAACAAATAGAGTTTGGTGAGTGAATAAAATGACTTGTGAAAGAAGCATTATTTTAAAACTTGTATGATATTTTAATGCACTGTGTTCCAAAATACTAAAGCAGGAGACGCTGTCATGTAAACTATATTCCCAACACCTATTAAAATGATAGGTAAATCTGAGAAGGTGCTGAAAAGGTTTTGTTTAATGGATGTAGGTATAGCTTGGAATAATATCTCACTTTGATATAAATCATTATTTTAAGGGCTATTTTGATATGTATTAACTCATTGCATATCCACAAAGAAATGTTGGTACCAAATAAAGCAAAACAAAACAAACAGAAACCTCTAACTCAAAATACATTAGAGTTTAAAATAACAGATCCCCTGTTATTTTAGAATTACAGAATAATGCTCATAGCAGCATTATTCATAATAGCTCAAAAGTGGAAACAACCAAAATGCTCATCAACTGATGAATGGATAAAGAATATATGGGGTTTTCATCCAATGGACTATTACATGGTCACGAAAAGTAATGAAGTACTGACACATGGATGTACCCTGAAAAGATTACGCTATGTGAAATAAACCAGACACAAAAGGGCATACATGGTATGATTCTATTTACATGACATATTCAGAATAGAGAAGTCTGTAGAGACGGGAAGTAGATTAGTGTTTACCAGTGGCTGGGGAAAAAGCAGAATGGAACTAACTCTAATAGGTACAGGGTTTTTCTGGGTGGCGTTCTAGAACTAGATAGTAGTGATGATTGCACAACTCTGTGAAGGTACTAAAAACCACTGAATTGTACACTTAAAAGGATGAAGTTTCTGATATGTGAATTACCTAAATAAAGCTGTTATTAAAACATGATGGAGCTCAAAATACTCAATAGTAGTTCAAGTGCTGGAGTAGAAAGGAGGACTGTGGGTTAGAGAGCCTGCCAAAGTCAGGACAAGCTAACCATTCTAATATTTCAGTCTTAAAGAGGAAGATGGTCTCTATGGTATCTCAAGAGACATGCTTACCATGAAGCAAATTAGGTTTGTATTTCAGGACCCCTCATCATCCTGGGCCCCAGAAACTTGTATTTGTTATTTTATTTCTTTTTATTAAAGAGAGTCTAAAGAATCAAAGAAGCCTCAGGCCCTGCAAAACCCACATTTGTACCTGTCGATCCCACAGCATCATGAAAGATGGATAAAGGACAAACAGGGATCATAAAATTCCGGAATATTTGTAAATTTTCTCTTGGTGAGCGACATCTCCTGAGGGTTTCAATGAGAGGTGCAAATGTCTTTGTTTGGTGCTTCTTTGGTGTGGAGAAAGTTGGGATTATTTTAGCCACTTAGGGTCCTAGTGAACAAGAGTCCATGTGTATCCTTCCCTTTTTATAAACAGACACGTGAGTGTCTCCTTGACTGCTGAATTAGACACACTTCAGAAAGACCATAGGCATAAAAGCAATGATGGAATAATATATTAAGTTACATAGTCATGGTCATGTCCAGAATCCAGAATTCCTCATAGCACAGATCCTCAAGTCCAGAACCCAGTTCATTATTTTCTGTCACAATAAAGAACTGCTGTGATGACAGGAAGAAGTGTGGAGGTGTGTCAGCAATGTGCAAGCACGATACACCACGGATGCAGCTGTTATTGACTGGGATGTTCTGAAACCAGTGCCCTTGACGTAAGGAAAATGTAGTCAGGAAGTTCTCCTCATAGAACTTAGACAACAGCATTTCTAGACAAACCACTAGGGAAGGAAATTCAAGGGAACAGCGACTAAAAGTCCTGGTCCCTGGAGATGGGTTTTCTGCAGGTGAAACTCAGCAAGATGTACAATCCTGGCTTGAATTGTAAAAACAAGGGACGAGCTTCAAGGTCACACATTAGTCCATGAACTGTTTGCCTGAGAATTTTCATTAATGGGTTGTGAAATATTTTAGCATATACCAACTGAACTGTCATGGAGCAGAGTTAACGTCACTTCCCAGGAATTGTACACCATCTTGGGGAAAGAGGCTGGACTGAAAACAGAGGCGTTTCTGGAGAACAGAGTTTAGGTTCCTCTTTACTGTCCCTCCCCTAATTCCTCTCTGCAGACTCATCCAAGAATTCCAAGGCTCCTTGGCTCTGAGGCATCAGAGCTGGAAGTACTGTGAGGAAGCCTCCAGTGCAGAACACTGGAGAGAAGGGAACACCCCTCCCAGGGCTGCCACAGCCAGGCCCACCTGCACCCTCTGGGTTTGTGCTCAGCTCCCCCTGAATCCCCCTCACTGTGTCTCTCAGAGCGCAGTAGTACACAGCGGAGTCTGACACTTGCACTGAGGGTTTCTGCAGGTGGAAGGAGCTGTCACTCTTAACATGATTGGCTTGAAAGCCTCTGCTGTTCACGTCCTGGTTTTCTGATGAGCTTTTCAGGAGGAGCTCAGGCTCTTTGTTTTGATACTGGACATACCAGAAAAGGAAAAAAGAATAGCTGCTCTGGTAGGTGCAGTTCGGGTCAGAGGTGCCCTGTCGGGGAGAGTAACAGGGCCTTCTGTCTGGGTCACCGAGTCTCCATTGGTCCCTCCTATGAAAAAGTAAAAGCTCTGTTACATTGGCAATTTAAGAGGGTAGTCTCCAGTTTGTTAGAGATTAAAAGTCATCCTAAAACCAAGAAATAGAACATCTTAGAAATTCTGAATCAACGTTACTTACTCAACATCAACATGAGCACAAGTCCTGAGCAGGAAGCAGACAGCATGGCTGGGGGAGAAGCAGCAGCAGGTTTGTTTGGGAATACATGAAAGCTGAGAGGGTTATTCCTCTATTTTCTTGATCCTTTGGTGGGATCTTCTAGAAAACCTTGGCTCCTGTGTGATTCAAGAGAAACAATCCTGCAACTTCATTCCACAGACTGTAAAAATTGAGATGTGGTCAGAAAGGGAAGATGAATTTGTGTCAAACTACCACCCAATGGGAGCAGCATCCTCTTGTGGTTCCCCCTCTGTCCCTGCAGCCAGCTTTACATCTTTGAATTTGATACTTACCCTGGGATGAAGCTTAAGTTGTAGACAGAAGGGAAATAGATGTCTGGGGTGAAGTGTAGGACTCCAGGAAGGGAGCACCAAACCCTTCCTGCATACTTCACAGTGGTGCCTGAGGCTAAGACAGTGGGTAATTCCTCTGTCAGTCTCTTTAAGACACAGGGCAATGTGGCTTCCTTAAATCTCCATAGTCCCAGCATCAAATGTCTGTTCACACTGAGTATTAAGCTGGCTTTAGCCATCTTAGGATATACTGAGAGTGTAAGAAAAGCACAATTTGAGTTTTCTTCTTGACATATTCCCCTGTTGGTGCCCTGGAACCAGGGGATGAGCCCCTCTGCTTTGAGTGTTCTCCCTTCTCTCACCTACCTTTGCCTAGGTAACTTCTAGTCATTCTTTAAGAACCAATTTACGTGCCACCCTCTTATGAAAACACTCACCCACCTCTTCAGGCTAAGTGTGCCCATCTCTTTTCCCACCATTCCTTGTACACACTTCTATCACTGTCATTACTGCATCATATTAGAATCATCTGTGTCCTGTTTTCCAAACTAGACTTTGTGCTCCTGAGATCAGGCACTTAATATTATTAGTTTCAGCAACCAATTTCTCAGAATATACAGGCCCTTGTTTTATAGTAGATGCTCAAAAAATATCTGAAGAGTGAGTAAATAAATGAATGAGTAGACATGTCTGGTGGGTACAATTATCTTTCTATGAAGTGTAGTCACTATGAGAGCATAGTCTAGACCCCTGGTATGATGAGCTTCTTCCAGAGTCAGAACCAGGGCCTGCATAATAGGCACATTCAGTGTTTCTCAAAACTGAGTAAGGTTCAGATCTTCATATAAGGGATCGCTCTCATACTGACTATTTAAAAAATGTTATGATGCCTTAATATACACAAAAATGAAGTTAAGTATAAACTTCTTATCCTCATAGATCTTACATATTTACCTAATTGAACAACAAATAAAGTCAATAAAATTCAAATTCAAATATGAATGTGAGGGATGATCTTTTGCTGAAACTAAAGAGTTGGTATAGGCATATTAGAAAAAGCTATACATGTGTGTAGTTCAATAACCCACTTGATTGAAATGATTTGGAGCTTTATGTACTATTGTCTGAATTACTGTTTGCTCACTTCTACTTTTTTCTTTTCAAAAGTGCCTATTTAAGTCACCATTATATAGTTGTCTTATTTAATGAAATACTCAAAAAATACTGAAAAAGCATATATTGTGCTTTCACTGCTACCCCTACATCTACTGAACTGCATGTTGATACTTCCAAACAATGAGTGTGAGCAATACATCTTCTTTTGATGGAAACATGGAGGTAACTGTGGTACCTTCGGCTCTTTGGGGTTTGGCCTGTCTGTAATACCATGTGCTGTATCATAACCAAAATTTTCTGAACACTTTTCTCCATTTAAACAACTGTGATACCTTTATTTGCAGCATGCCATTATTACATTTGTCTTTAATTTGGTAAAAATGACATAAAGAGCACAAAAGCATGAAGATCAAGGGGAGTATTTTGTAGTAAGTTGGTCAAACAGATGATTAAAAACATGCCTTTATTATTTTATTTTGTTGCCATCAAGCAGAAAACTCCAAATCTAAAAATTCTCATGTAGTTCCTATACGCCGGGAGTTGGCAAACTTTTTCCTCTAAAGGGCCAAGTTGGGAATACTTTACGCTTCGAAGTCATTTGGTCTCTGTTGTAACTACTCAACTCTGCTATTATAGCACAAAGCAGCACAGTCAATGCATAAATAAATGAGCATGGCTGTTTTCCAATACAACTGTATTTACGAAAACCAGTGGTAGGCAGCTTTGACCTGTGGGCTGTAGTTTTCTGAGCCCTCTACTCTACTCTAAGAATTTGCCCATAAACCTCCTAAGATCCATGGACGGCAGTCTGAGAAATTCAGCCACACTTTCTTGTTTGTTTTCTCACTGCAATATTATCATAGCTCTTTGAGAAGGCTTAAAATAAAGGAAGCATATTACACAAGTTAATGGATGGAAAGGAGGAAGAAGGAGACTTGGCGATTTTAATGCCTAAGATACTTTGGTGCTGAGGATTCAAGAATGGTCCCTGTCATTAAGGAGCTACAGAGTAGTAGTGGAAATAGCTTTTAATCAAGCAATCGAAGGAATAAAGGAAAAGCTGCAAGTTTGGAAAGGCAGAGGTCTATGATTCTGAGTGCACACTGAGCTTCCTTTAGATGCTGACTGTTGGACAAACAGACAACAGTGAACAGGAATTTACTAGGTTCTATTCTTTTGAAGGGAGGAAAAAGAATTTTAGGAAAAGGAAAAAGAAGAAAATCACCTAAAATGTCTATGAAGGGGTCACATAGAAGGAAAAACGTGCTTTTAATAAACTTAAATAATACCAGTGTTACTGAAGACAGACACAGAGAGATACAGAGATTAGAAGCATATTACGGAATGAGCCTGGAGACGTAGCAAGGTCTTAAATTATGCAAAGTTTTGTAGGTCATATTAAGAAGTTTGTCCTTAAGAGAAAATAGGGATTCAGGTGATTGACATGGTCAAATTTTCACTCTGACAAGATCACTCTCACTACATTGAGGAGTGATGGGATGTGTCCAATGTGCTGGGGGCAGGGGCAAGGGTTGAAGGCAGATTTTTGATTATAATTATGAAGGTGAATTGCACTGTGGGAGTTGTGATGTCTTGTGGAACACTTTTAGGAGGCAAATACAACAGGAATGGGAGACAGGTTGGACATGGAATTTCAAAAATGAAAAACTGTGAATCCAGAAAACTGCACAAAACATAAAGCCTAATACACCCTAAACTAAGGGTGTGGCAGAAACTGCTAGTTGCCTACACAATGTTCATTCTCTCCTACTTCTTACTAATGGAACCATAATTTTGATGTGGGTGGCAACATATTGAGATAAAAAAATAATAATAATCCTGATATCCCAGTCTCCTGTGCAGATGGGAGAGGAGTGGGGACATCAAATGACACTCTAGTAAATGAAATGTAAGGAGAAGCTGTCAGGTGGAGTATCTGAAAATGATTGGCTCAGCCAGCATGGACCTATTTGCCTTTTGACTTTCTCTTTCTTTCTGCCTGGAAGGTGTGTAAAGTGGATAGATCTCTAACAGTTTCTTGAAAGTATGAAAAGAAAAGTGACACCTTAAGGATGAGAAGCAGTGAGTTAGAAAGACCCTTCACAACACGACGAAGCTGGCATACTAGCCCTGCATCTGATGGAGCTTCTTTATGTAAGAGAAATAAACTCCATCTTGTTAAAAACACTGTTAACGAAGTTTTCTGTAACATGAAGCTGAGTCAATCTCCAACTAATACAGATGATGTTCAGTAAAAACACAAATTCATCATTTCATCAGAAACTGAATAAGCTGGAACACAGCCTGATAATCGGATCTTCAAAGGTGGTCAAGGTGATTCTGATACAGGTGATGTTGCTGGTTGAAGGTCTGGCATTTGGGAACCACGGCCCTATACAACCTTTCTCCTGCTCCAACCCTCTAACATTTTCATCAAAACATACACATAAATACAAATGTCTTCATTTCATCCATAAATACATTTTCAGTAGTAGCAAAACTGTATTAAGAAAACCATATTCAGTGTTTATCTTACTAGGAGCAAGAATAAATGAAAATTTGGTATGTTTTTGATAATAGAAGTATTCGCTCTCACAAAACAAGATCTCAGGACCTGGTAGTGGAGAACATACATCTCTCAATGGAATGGAGAATAATTATGAATTTCCTATAAATTCCCATTTTACTAATGGAGAAATTGAGGCTTGGAAATCGCACAACTAGTAAATGGCAGAGTCAGATTTGTCTCTATCACTCCAAAGATTCAGATCCTTCTCTATCATTACACAATGTTTCCAGTCCTCAGCTTTAAAATCAAGAGCTCGGTTGAAAGAGTCCTAACATCTTTCTAATTCTAATGCCAGATGAATCTGCTGTTTCCTATACAGAAATTAGAGAAATGTAAAAATTTCATGCATCTCAAAGACACACTCAAGTCTTTTTTTTTTTAAGATTTTATTTCTCCTTTTCCTCCCAAAGCCCCCCAGTACACAGTTGCATATTTTTAGTTTTGGGTCCTTCTAGTTGTGGCATGTGGGACGCTGCCTCAGCATGGCTTAACGAGTGGTACCGTGCTCGCGCCCAGGATTCGAACCAGCAGGGTTCCACCAAACCAGAGCGTGCGAACTTAACCACTCCGCCATGGGACCGGCTCCTGCACTGCAGTCTTGAGAGGGATACACATCCTCTAACCCTAAGATCTCCTTCCTCATCCTGCTCAAATGTCCAGAGCCTACTTTTTCTCCTAATAAAATTAGAGCTTCAAGGGTCTTTTGGGCTTATCAGTCCAAATCCTTCCGTTCAAGTAAGGAAGTCAAAGGCAGCTATGCTGATGATCTTCCTGAGGCCACATAGCCAGGATTGGCAGAAGTGAACCTGGCATTTCAGTTTCCCATTCTGAATCTCATGCCCTTTGCCCTAGTCCAAGGTGCTCCCAAAGAAACACAAATTTGAGAGGGCCTTCCTTTCATGTTTCCAGCTATTTGTAGACTCTCATTCATGGGAAGACATAACCCAAGTATACCCACTGTTGGGGCTCCTAAGAGGTGGCTCCTCAGAGTTCTTGTAGGGGCTGCAGGTGCCTGGTGAACACTGTGCCTCCACAGCACAGAAGTAAGCAGCAGAGTCGGCAGCCCGGGAAGCCGTGATGGACAGGGAGCTGCTTTTGCTGGAGGTGTCAAGCGTGACTTGTAGTCTTCCACCAGGTTTCTCTCTTTCATTTGAACGTATTAAAATCAGTTGTGCAAGGCCTCTACCTGCATCTTGTCTATACCACCGTAAGTTGGTTATAGTAGTTTTATAACTGCAGTTCATGGTGACATTTTCACCCTCCTGGATACTCAGGGTCTGAAGATTCTGTTCTCCTTGTTGGCTGTTCACCCCTAGGCAGAAACATAAGGACACAGATGAGGAGTCAGTCACTGTATTTTCACCCTGTATTGTTTACTTTTCCTTCCATAATGTTCTGGTACATTTCCAACTTAACAAGGAGAGTTTGCTCCTCAGTGTTATGGGCTCTGAACGTCGGTTTCCCTGTTCCCATCACCAAGAGCCTCAACTCACTGGCCAGTTGAAGCCATAGAATCACCAAAGACACTTCCAGGAGTTTCTCCATTCTTCTTCCTTATTGGGATCACAGAAGACTCAGCTCTGTGGTCTGAAATGGAGCCAGGTTCCTCAGTCTAAAGAGTTAGCTCTCTTTACAGGGTCTATTTTTCTAGTCCCTCTGGATCCCAGAGAGTCTCGGGTTTCTTACCTAACCAATCAGAGGCAAGCTCAATCCTTTGCTTTCAATGCACACATGTTGATTTCAAACCCAGTCAGTCTGAGGAGAGAGAGGCACTGCCATCTTGTGGTGGCATCATCCCGCTGATAGAATGTACTCTGAAAGGTGAAGTGTGTACAGAGCAGATTCAGAGGTTACAAAGCTCTTCTCTTCTCTGCCTTCATTGAACTCTGTTCCAGCCTAGAGTAAGAACAGATGCAGTTTCATTCAGGTAAGGGCTCAATTAAGAAAGAATGTTGTGCCCAGTATTTCTGGAATACCTCTGAGAAACACTGTTAGGTTTCTTACAATCACCTCTGATAATGAAGCTATGAGATTCCCTTTTTTTTCCCTAATCTGCCCAATGCTGGAATTAGATTGTTTATAAGTTAGGATTCTTATTGGTGACCAACTGATACTGACCTGGCTGAATTAAGTAGAAAAGGAAGAAGTTAATTAATACTAAGTTTGTCTCAGAATCTTCAGTAGGGTCAGAGAACTGGACTCAAAAGCTATTAAGTCAGGAACGATACGGGAAATCACTCTGAAGAACTCCTCGGAGTGTCCCACGGGCTCCTCTTCTGAGTTCCAGCCTCTGCAGGTTGTGCCTTCAAGGCTGCTAGTGCAGGGCACTGTGTACAGCTGCAAACCCACTGCAGCAATTTCCCTGGAACTGTAATTTTCATTTTGTTGCAACTACCACCAATCTTTCCTTTTCTGCATAAGTAACCCCTCTGTCAAAGTTTGGGAAATACCATGTGCCCACAATTATCTGCACAGAGGGGGGATATATGAGTGTATTAATTTGCTGGGGCTGCCATAAGAAATGCCGCAGACTGAGCGGCTTAAACAACAGAAATGTATTTTGTCACAATTCTGAAGGCTAGAGGTCCGAGATCAAGGTGTTGGCAGGTTTGGTTTCTTCTGAGGCCTCTTTCTGTGGCTCACAGATGACTGCCTTCTGGCTGTGTCCTCAAGTGATCATTCTTCTGTGTGTATTATAGCCCCTCTAAAGGACAACGACGAAGGAAAATCACCCCCAAACATTGGATCATTCATTTTGGTTGTCCATTTTATCTAGAGTGAGAGACAGCCAGAAATACTGATCTATATTCATTCATGGGCAGTTGCTAATTGTTTTGCTGGATGGTTAAGAGGATCCTTTTCCTTCCAAGGAACAGGACTGGAAGACTACTGACAAGGAAATCTAGGGAAGAGGTATCTGGATGGAAGTCTAAGAATGGGCACAGACTCTCAAGATAGTTATGCTCCATGTGAATACTGACCAAGGGAAAACCCCTGCAGTGGAAGCTCTTAATAATGAACAAAATGATACACTCTACGGAACTGCCAACATCTTTCTCTAGCCACCCCAATGCTTGCTCAATGATCCCGTAAACCAAGTGGCCTTGTTAGCACAAATAGAAGTTATGCATGAGCTCAAAAGAATTGATTTCCCCTTATCGAGTTTGACCTAGCTACTGCTACTGCTGAGTGCCTAATCTGTCAACCACAGAGACTAATGCTGAGCCCCTAATGTGGTGTCACTCCCCGGAGGGACTATCCAAATGCATGGTGACAGGTTGATTGCAATAGACATCTTCCATGATGGAGATGGCTGAAATTTGTCCTTACTGGAATTGACACCTATAGTTATTTCTATATTTGTCTTCCTTGCTTATGATGCTTCCGCCAGCATCATCTTCATGAGCTCACAGAATGCCTAATCTCATCAAAATATTCCCCTTAGCATTTCTTCAGATAAAGGAACTACTTTTATAGCAAAGAATTACAGCAGTGGGCACAAGCCCAGGGAATTATCTAGTCTTACCACTTATCCCATCACCCAAAAGTGGCTGGCCTGTTGAAATGTAGAATGGCTTATTGATTCAGTTATAGCACTAATGGGAAACAACTCCCTGAAAAGGTGGGGTTCTGATTTACAAGATTCAGTATATGCTTTATATCAGAGACCATTATATGGTGCTGTCTTGCTCATAGCCAGAACGCATGGGTCCAGGCAACAAAGAAGTCACCTTGGGAGTGAATCTTCTCACTATTATTATCAATAACTCACTAGTAGTATTTTTGCATCCGGTCATTGAAACTTTGAGCTGTGTTGGTTTGGAGGTCTCATTCTCTAAAGGGAGAAACGCTCCCACCAAAGCACACAACAATAGTTCCATTGAATCAGAAGATGAGACTGCCATGTGGCCATTTTTGGCTACATATGTCACTGAACCAATGAATAGATAAAGAGGTTACTCTACTGACTGGAGTGATTGATACCAATCATCAAGGAGGAATTGGGCTGCTGCCACGTAACAGATTATAAAGAGGGCTGTATTTGGAATCCAGGGGGGTTTCTAGGGGAACCTTTTGGTGCTTTCATGTCTCAAAGTAAAGGTTGATGGAAAATTACAGAACAAATAAAAAGGCAAGATCATGAGTACTCACTCAGACCCTTTGAGGATGAAGATTTGGGTCACTCCACAAGGTAAATAATCCAATCCACTGAATTTACAGCTGATGGCAGGGGAAATATAAAACGTGTAATACAAGAAAGAAACTATGTCAATTGCAGCCTCATGACCAAATCTGGAATCAAGGGGTGTAGTAGTATTCTACATTCTATTTTTGCTCTTTATATGTGTGTGTTCCTTTGTATAAGTTGCCATTTTCTTCTTCTCTCTCACCATAATTATTTTACATACAAATTGTTGGAGAGTCCCTTTAAAATTTAATCTGTATATAACAACATAAACAGTGGAACTTCTTTTGAATTTTAAAAGCGATTAATATAGCCAGAAATCCATAGTGACAGTTGGGGCTATAATATTGTTAGGAGTCTCCTCATTTTAGGGAAAGAATGATAACTTCACTTATTCAAAGGACAGTTTTAGCTTGTTAGATGGAAACAGAGTCATTTTATTGTTGTTTGGAAGTTCAAATGTGTGTGAAGGGGTGCATATGAAAGACCAATAACCAGAAGGATGGGAGATGCCACTTATCAGTTTATTGCCTTCCAACTTCAGAGCTCCCCTTCGTTGCCCTATTTGTGATTCTGGACCTGGACTTTGAAAACATTTCTCCCGTGCCAGCTTGGCATGATATTAAGCTTTGTCAGCAGAGGGAATTGGGAGGACACTGAAGAGGAAGAGGCTTCTCTTCCTGGTTCTGGCATGTTTCCCTCTCTTCTTCTTCCTGCAGTGCTTGGCCAGCCTGTGGGACACCAGTGACACTCACCTCCAGCAAAGTTCATTGACAGCCCCACAGGTGGTTTCTTGGCAAGCTTCACAAGCACCCCAAGCAAGTACAGCAGCACTCCTTTGCTAGCTTCCTGTAAATTTTGTTGGAACTCTGGTGGGTGTTTTCTTGCTTGGCAGTCTTTTTCTCTGGCACCTCAGCAAACATCTCCACCATCCAGCAGGCTACAGCCACACACTGCCCAATGAGGTCTGAATCAGAGACTCAGCAGGAGAATCTCTGCTGCTGGAGAAGGGGGTACATATTATAATGTGTTACTTACTTTGGAACTCTGGCCTAGTCCTAGAGATAAGGGCTTCTCTCTACATCTGCTATTCCTATGTTCTTTAGAGTTCTTTTTACTTGTTACTAATTAATTCTCTCTTATTGGTTAATAATTCTTTACATTAAACTTTCCTTGTTCAAATTGCTGGGGTTTTTTTCTCCTGATTAGACCCTGATTGAGTTAGTAGGAGTCAACGAAGTGCATGAGAGGAAAGGCATTAGATGCAGAACGATCAGCAATCATATGTCATGAAACGGTACAGTACTTTTAAGGAATTGTGCTTGAATATATGGTAGTGGACACATGTGGGGTGAATGAGGTGGCAGAAGAGTTGGAGAGGTGGGACCATACCACTTCCACCTGGAGAGTCCCAAGTTCTTTTCTGGGCCAAGAATAATTTTTTTTTATGCTGTGCTATGCAGTTTTTATTTCAAAAATATTTTTTCCAGGTACTAATAGGCAGAATAAATACACTTACTATCTTTTTTTTTTTTTTGAGGAAGATTAGCCCTGAGCTAACATCTGCTGCAAATCCTAATCTTTTTTTTGCTGAGGAAGACTGGCCCTGAGCTAACATCCATGCCCATCTTCCTCTACTTTATATGTGGGACACCTACCACAGCATGCCAAGCCAGGACGACTGCCAAGCAGGGCCATGTCCGTACTCAATCCAAACTGGCGAACACTGGGCCACCGAAGCAGAAGGTGTGAACTTAACCACTGCACCACCGGCTGGCCCCTACACTTACTATTTTTAAAACCAATTAGGCAGAGTAAGTAATGAGAAATTTCTTGGACAAATTTTTGACGTTAATCTATACCTAACTGACATCTGATGATATTGTGTCTAAGAGGTAAACTCAGCATCAGTCTCTAGAGAAAGAACGCCCCACTGTGGCCAAATAGAGAACTTACAAAGAAATATTTTGTGTAACTCCCAAAGGGTTTGTGCTCTGCTTTCCTTGTAAAATCAGTCACTGTGTCACTCAGAGCACAGTAATACATGGCTGAATCTTCCTCTTGAGCTGATAGCTTCTTCAGATGGAAGGACCCCTCATCGTTGTTAAGGTTGGCCGTGAAACCTTTGATGCTCTCTCCTGAGGTGTGTTTCAAGAGTAACTGGAGGCCTTGTTTGGGGTACTGGACGTACCAGAAGAGCGTAGAACTCCAGGAATACGAGTAGTTGCACTTCACCTGCACTGGGGCCCCTTCAACGACAGAGATGCGGTCCTCAGGCTGAGTCACTGTCTGGGCTCGTGCTCCTCCTGTAACACCAAGTCTGGATCGGGTGAGTCTTGCAGACTGAGGAGAATATTTCTTTAAACTGATTCTAAATCAGAAGACCATAGAAAGAGAATAAAAAGGAACTTTACTCACTGAGTGTGAACATCACCACAAGCAGTGAGATGAGG